TGTACACATTTACCAACTGCTCATACATACAACAACATACTGTCTTATCTACACATTTACCAACTGCCCTTACATACAACAACATACTGTCTTATCTACACATTTACCAACTGCTCATACATACAACAACATACTGTCTTATCTACACATTTACATACTGCCCATACATACAACAACATACTGTCTTATCTAAACATTTACAAACTGCTCATACACACAACAACATACTGTCTTATCTACACATTTACCAACTGTCCATACATACAACAACATACTGTCTTATCTACACATTTACCAACTTCTCATACATACAACAACATACTGTCTTATCTACACATTTATCAACTGCTCATACATACAACAACATACTGTCTTATGTACACATTTACCAACTGCCCATACATACAACATCCTACTGTCTTATGTACACATTACCCAACTGCCCATACATACAACATCCTACTGTCTTATGTAGACTTTACCCAACTGCCCATACATACAACATACTGTGCTATGTACACATTCATGAGCTTCCCATATATACAACATACTGTCTTGTTTAGAAATTTATGAGCTGCCTACACATACCCCCAAAAAAAAAAAAAAATTATGTCTTAGCTACACATTTTTGAACTGCTCATACATAGTTACAACACTGGACCACCTTATGTACATACACATTTGCCAGCTGCCAGTACACACACAACCACTTTGTGTGTCAGGTAGGTACATATTTATGAGGTGCCAGTCTCCAACATGCTAGTCACCATTGGCAGTACAAATGAGATCAAAGAAATCCATATTAATGGGCACTGTTTTCACAAATACACAACATATGCTTTACTTGTTCATTTCAGTCGAAGAGTAACTATCTACCATACAGGCACATACTGTCTCATACACAATATGTATTGCAATATGAAACCGAAAAGCTACAGACTATATACTTCTTGTTGTTTTTCTTTCGCTCTTCTTCTTCTTCTTAGTGTTTACCAGCTGTAAACTCTGCAGAAAACAATAGAGAATACAGGTCGTTGGTTGTTGTGTGAAGAATTCCCGGGTTGTCCAAAGGGACCTACTTTCACTGCATGACTGGGTGTAATTCTTAAAGGATGAGATGACTTGATGTATACTGTAGGATTTCTCTTGTATCCCCCACCCCTTTTTGTGTATGTCCCCACGTAGTGTAAATGAGGTTGTCTTAAACTACAATGACAATGATGGTATATAGTCAGTCTTTTGAACAGTGATCATATAGCTACTAACAACTCACTGACACCATGAAAACAGTGCATTTCCTTCATAAACTGTGAGCATATAGCTACTGACAACTTACTGACACCTTGAAAACAGTGCATTACCTTCATGAACTGTGAGCATATAGCTACTGACAACTTACTGACACCTTGAAAACAGTGCATTACCTTCATGAACTGTGAGCACATAGCTACTGACAACTCACTGACACCCTGAAAACAGTGCATTACCTTCATAAACTGTGAGCATATAGCTACTGACAACTTACTGACACCTTGAAAACAGTGCATTACCTTCATGAACTGTGAGCTTATAGCTACTAACAACTCACTGACACCTTGAAAACAGTGCATTACCTTCATGAACTGTGAGCTTATAGCTACAGGGAAGATGCCATGGTGTATTGGCTAGATTCTAATATGCGGATTGGAAGATCACGATATCAGGTTTTGGAGGTTCTGGACTTTTAAAAAAAAAATTACCTTGGCTCCCAGGTCGACCTAGCTTTGAATGGGACCAGGTGAAGTCCTGGGAAGTAAAGGAGCTCGTGTGTGCTTACCATGGGCAGAATATTTTGGCTTCCGAAGCACGATGTTATTTATTAGACAGCATCCTTGATGCTGAGATCTTTTAGAATGTCAGCATTTCCTGTCTTTGTCTCTGGCCTATGTTATTCCGAGAAACCTTCTATAGCATTTCAGCTCAAAAGCCCTTATTTTCTTCCTTAGTAAATAGGGTATTTTCCTTACCTTACAACAGCCACACACATCTGTCTGCCTTGGCCAAACATTTAATCATTACACCCTTCCCTAACTACCATATCAGTTTGCAGGGCAAATACACAGAAATAACATTCAAAGTACACTACCTACAGGACAATAATATATACATGATGGCTTCTCATATTCTGTGTGTGTGTGTGTGTCGAAGGGGGTTGGGGGTTGGGGGGGGGGGGGGTGGTGGTGCCTGCATCCATCTGTCACTAGTAGGTTTCTGTTGTAATCACTTCACGTAATCTGTAACAACCAACCCTAACTGAGACTTCTGCAGCAATCATTTCACATAATATGTAATACTATAGTATACTTGTGCTGTAATCAATTGACATAATATGTAATAATCAATAACACAGTAGAAAAGTGTTGTAATCATTCCATTTAATCTATAACAATCCATACCAAAGTACACGTCTGCTGATATACTTCCTCATAAGCTATGATATTTTTCTTCTTTGCATTCACCGACTGTAAACTCTGATGAAAAGTTCTGGTTGTTCGTCCCCTTCTGGACTTTGGTCTTGTTCAGAATTTGGTTTCTACATGCAAGTTCCTTTTTCAGATCTGGCTTCTTTGTGTGCAGACTGTTGGTTCCTCACCTCTCAAGCAAATGTACCCCAACTTTGAAGGAAACATCCCTAATTGGTCGACTCTTAGGACATGCTTGATAGGGGGGCCGTAGATCTATTTCCCCACTCCCCCTCCAATGGGGATCCGGATTCCACATGGGAAATAAGCCATAGTGATCAATGAATAATGACTCCTGGTGTAAATGTTTCCCTCAATCACAGTTAATATCTGACTACCCCTTTTGCTCAGCAGGCTGGTCAACAGAATGCCAGCAAGCGCTCTCTCAGGACAAGACATACATAGTTTTATAAACTAATTTCCAACAATGGTTTCCATTATGTACACTATGTCACATTTGTACAGCTTTGTACACAATAATGACAGATTATGAACAGCAGGTTATAAAACATTATTTAGAGTCATTCAACCTGACCAAAAGCTATCAAAAGTCATCTCTTTACCTTTATTACAAACGCTCAACCATCTACTCTCTATCAAAAGTCATTTAACACACTCGCATATCTACAAAACTTCATAAGCCATTCATAGATCATCAGACTTCTTCAAACCATCAAGTCTTTTACAAACATTCACAATCTACAAACCAGCACAAGATGTTCGAACAATAACCATACACCCACGGGAAGTTTAGGGTTTATTATTACCTTTTCCATCTCCACCTAGGGATTCCTTGATTTTACATTTCCACCACAGGGCTCGTTGATCTTTTGCTCTTCGGTAACCATATTTCCCATTACACCATTTTAGCCAATCGCTTCCGTATGCTTGAAATCCCGCAGAAACTCAGTATTTTCCCTGTTTTCTGGGGTTCAAGGTTTCTTAAGAGCTTTTCTGTGACTGTTAGATTCAGATTTTCTGTTTTAAAAATGTTTAAATAAAGAGTCCACAAGTTACATCCCCATGCTGTCACATTAAAGATTCATACAGTCCAGACATCTTGTACATATACTATCTAAGACAGGGCTATTCAACTTAGTTTACTCAGGGGCCATGATGTTAGAAATGGGGATTGTAATGAGCCAGAGGTTTGAGCCCCAGTGTAGAAGGATAATTGATACAACATATACATATATTGGTAATAATCCGTAGACCACTTGCGAGACCTCTGCATGTCGCATTCTGCCTGCAGGCCGCCAGATGAATAGCCCTGATCGAAGACATGCTAATGGGTGACCAGTTTTGGGCTGAATGTCACAATCATGTAACCAACATCTTATTCTTCTTCAGCATTCCGAGACCTTGAGGTTCATTGCTGCAGATATCACTCGCCTCCATTCATTTCTGTCGTTGGCCCTCTCTTTTTAGTTGGTGACACCAAGTGTTTCCAGGTCTGTCTGGATAACCAACATCTTGTTTTTTTTTAAAATAAAGACATTCAACACTAATGCTGGTGTACTTTCACACAATATATTTTAAACAACTTTTAGCTTAACTGCACACACAAACTTGGATCACTGAATAAATAACAATTTAAAAGAAATTGGTTCAAAGCACTCATTTAAAAACGAAAACAAAAACACGTTTTTACGAATAAGTGCCAAAGTGAAAAAGATATAATGTCAGAGATGTCAACAAAAGCCAGCTGCGGACTTAGAGAATGTTGTAAGTCCACATCTACACAGGTGTCTGTGTAACTGCCATCATCCGTCAGCTGCCTCTGCCAATTAGTTGACAGTAAAGTCGGGATATCTCTGTCATTTGTGTGACAGTATGTGAAGATCCTTGCTGGTTATTTTCGTATGCAAGAAAACAACTCTGATGCATCTAAATAATACTTTGTTGATTAACATCTTCGCATCTGGTAATTTCATGCAGTTTCACTACTGTTGATTTCTTGACATCAGCTGTAGCAGACATAATCCTCATTGCATGATTTTTGGGAAAGAGGCTGGAATTCAAGTAATCCTTCATCAAACCATGGTTACGACATGTGGAATTCAATTAATAATTCACCAAGGAAACTAGGCAATGCACGGAACCCATCACTGAAAACTCCTAATGCATCGGTGGTGGAATTCAATTAGTACATTGTGGGATGATGCTTGTTATATGTAGTAATGACTTCAGCCAAGGTTCTGCTGGGGTGATATTCACCGAACACTTCACTTTAAGGGAGTTAACAGGTTGTAGATGTACAAAGAAGTGGCAGCTCAATGACTTCTGTAATGGCTCAGATGTAACAGCATTTAGAATCCACTTAACATATGAAAGTTGTATTGACTACAACACGGGACAAGTGTGGTAGTGTGACTTCACCGATGAATCACATTTATTATGACACAACGACCCAGAATCTCTGCAACCACACTTACCACCTGACTGAAAACAAAAGGTTCCATAACTAACATTTTAAGTTCTAAATGACTTGGCCTACCCTCATCTTGAACACGTTGCTATGACTAACACTAACATCACGAAAAGATGCAAGATTCTATATTCACTCCGCTTCTGTAGAAATGAAAAGCTGGCACCACAGTTGCGACTGTATCGTTCGTCGTATTTAACTAAATCTGTTCTGTTGTTCATAGTCCTTGCGGCAGAAGGATGGAGCTTCAGAACGTCCATCAGCGAACTCATCGCTGACAGAGTAAAATTTTGGTCTCCCGTTGCCATGAGATCAAACACGCAAGAGTCAAAATAAAAGTCCGTTAGGTTGGCATCCCTGCAGATTTTTTCGGCGTGAGACCGCGCCATCGCAGGTCTTGACTCGCCACTTGTGTGCATGCTGGGAGAAACCTGCGCCGAAGGTGCGTGTTTTCTGATGGCCAGATATTCTTGGTAGTTGATGATCTCTGACTGGGGACAACCGCGAACGCAGAGCTGAAGATCTTGGCTGGCGCTGCTCTGGTTGACCAACTCTTCCGGCATTCTGACGGAGAAGGTGAAGTACCGGCCGATCTGTCTGACTACTACAACTGTATGGATGTATCGTATATGGATCTCCACGTGCCGACCGGGGTCCACCTCCACTAGCTCCAGACTGTGGTAAGGGCCCACAGTGGTGCGACCGTCATCGAACGTGCCTGGAAGTGAGTTGGTTTGTGCTTGATAAGTCTGGAAGTCTAGTGACGTGCACGTGTTGCCCTTGACAATCACTGTCAGCTGGAGATAGAAGAAACAAACTGTTAATAGTTTCCCCTACGCGGCAAAATAAGCATGGAAACCAAATAAAAAAGGACAAAGTATCAGGCGTACTAGACATAAATTGCTAGATCTATATTTTGTAAGACCAGCCGACACTCAGTGGGTCATGTGGTCAACCTCATGCCGGCCGCATTTACTTCCCAGTATTTCACCTGGTACCAATTTCAGGTTGGGTCGACATGGGAGCCAAAAGTCCAGCTACGTTGAGATTTAAACCCACAACCGTCTGATCATCTAGCCGCTACACTACACGGTTCCCACAGAAACCAAATATATGAAGATAAATTATCTTCTGCCCGTTACCTTCATATGGAGCCTGGACACTTATTACAAACCCGACCTGGCTGTTTCCAGCTGAAGCTTGTTTACATGTATTCGAAGGATCAACATCATGGCACACGGTTGTAACCCATAAGTGCTCCATTCTTCTTTTAACTCAAACCAGAGTCTGAAGAATCACAGCGCAGCGCACAAACTCCATTGCACCGGCGAGGATCCTGAAATACTTTGCATAGGTTTGTAACTCTAAACTTTACCCGGACAGCGCTGTTGGGTTACTCTTTTCGATTTCCAGCTGCCCGGGCTTTTTTTTAAACGTGTGCAACAATACACACGGGCGTCCGATCTTACTACCCAGAGACCAGGGAAAATTACAAGTCCACGTGAAAGAATCCCAGCCTTCACCGGTGCTTGAACCCAGGACCTCCAGCACTCGAGGCGGACACCATACCTTGAGATCACTTAGCTGAAGCTTATTAACGCAAAAAGATCCTATCTGTTGTTGAGATCATACCACTGTCACGATTCTCTGAGCAGGAACCAGTTAATTAAATACACGCTTTTTTTAAAAGTCATTTTCCGTTTTTTGGAATCAACACTTAAGAATCCTAAGACAGGGAAAACCATTGATTCATTTCAACTGTTGCAACGAATATCATTTTCAAGGCTATTCGATCTGAAAACATTAACAGGTCTTTACAGTCTATGTTTACAAAGGGAAAAGAATAGGGGCGGGGTGGGGGGGGGGGGTGAGATTGAGGCTCGCATAACTAGCGTAGATTCACGGAATTGTACAATTTAAAATCTGTTATTTGTACGTTTGCCCAGAGAGAATCAAATTTATCAATCTTCTAAATTATCTTCTTCTTACTGAAGATTAGACCTCAAGTTTAGCACGCCTACCCTTCACCACATCGCATACGTGGTGGAGAAAAAAACCGCTACCGCTACCTTCTTGAATGGACAGAATGTAAGAAGGGTCTGTGTTCCCAGCTCCGAATCCTTTGAAAATAACATTCGTTCGTTCATTCTTGTCAAGGGGCCAACAGATTCACCCCCACCACCCCCCCCCTCCCCCGACTTCATTTCACCTATGCTCCCGGCAAATAATGGACAAGTTCTTCAAACTTGTAGACGCTAATAAATATCCGACCAGGCTGAACGCAAGTTGGTGTCAGAAACGTCATAGTTGGAAATCTCCCGGAACACTACATTAACGATCTAACACGTCCTACACTAGAGGAAACTTACAGAACCTTTTAACCATCCACAGTTAGGGTCGGACAGGGTTGCCTAGTATCAAGATTGATGGTCACACTTGGCTGTAATGCTGGTTAATGAAGACAACAAGAGCGAAGAAGACACGAAGGACCTTTTGTATAAGTGTATTGATTATTTGGTGCAGGCTATATATTTTCGTAGGCCGCTCTTGTTCTTCAACTTCTTTATAGAGGTTTGAGTTTAGAACTACAGGTCACAATCATAGCACACGGGGAGTAACCCATAAGTGTTCTGTTCTTCTTCTAACTCAAGTCTGAGTGCGAAGAAGCTCAGCACAGTGCACAGTCTTTGTAGCACCGGCGAGAATCCTGAAATACTTTGGGTAGATTTTTAACTGCCAAGAGATTTTTTTTTAAACGTGCGCAACAATACACACGGGCGTCCGATCTCACTACCCAGACCTAGTGAGATTACCAGAAGTCCAAGTCCAAATGAAAAAATGAAAAAAAAACATCACAGCACTTCTTTTTAGCGTTCACTGGCTGTACTCCGAGAGTTCGTCCACTTCGTCTCCTTTTAAATTCCGTTAAATGCATCGCGCAGCCGGATTTTTGTCTCCAAAAAATGACCTTAGCTCCCAAGTTGACTCGGCCGTCAAAGGTACCAGGTAAAGTCCTGGGGAGTAAAGGCGGTCGTCGTGATCTGACAACATCACCCACATAGTACCGATAGGTCTATCAAATATAGGTTTAGTCCTACACGCTCGATACGTTTAAAGACGTAAAAAAAAGGGTCCTTTGCTCGCTTACTTACTTATTAAGTAAAGGGCCCTTTCTACGCCAGTGGCACACACACTTTAAAGGCAAATTCAGCCTACTCTGGGTGATTGGTCAACACTACACCGGCCATCTTTACCTAGCCGAACTGGTAGCTTGTACCAGGGCCGGATTTATACTTGAAGAGGCCTTAGAATATAATAGTCTTAAGGCCCCTAACCTGTTCGGACTTCAGGTTACGTGATCACCGACGGGAAACCCAATATAAACTTAGTCTTCAGCGGAGTTTCTGGGATTTGTACCTAGGGAATTCTTACCCAGACAGTGACACATTCTCTTTGAACAATCACATTGTCAAGTCGGACTTACCAGAAGTGAAAATGCGTGATAATGTATTGATCAGAACCAACGTTATGACGTTTCTCGGGGTGAGGTTCGATCGCAGCTTGTCATTCAGGGAACACGTTGACCATGTGATAACAAAAGCACGCAAAGGTCTATCTGCAATGAGGATTATGGCTGCTTCCAACATTGAGCCAAGACTACTAATACTTCTATTCTACGGTCTGGTCCTTTCCCCCATTGAATACGCTCTGGCCATCCTCACTGTCAGTGCTACCCAGATTGAACGACTCGAAAAGGTGCAAAATGAAGCCATGCGCATTATTTTGGGATGTACTAGAGACACATCCTGTGGAGCAATGAGGTATCTACTTGACTTTCCAACAATGAACCAAAGGATCAGGATGTGGAGGGCTCGGGCATATCTCAAAATATGTGCTGATAAGAAACACCCACTGCATCAAGCGCTTTTTAGTGAAAAGGGCGACAGACTGAAGAGGGGGAAATCGTGGCTAGGTCGGGCAGAAGATGTTATTAGGCAAATATGCAGCCTAACCGACATCATACCTGGTGCAGAATGGATACCTGTGCCTCAGGCGTTTATTTGTACATTTTCCTGTATTGTCTCACTCAACAGGCGATGTAGAGAAGAGAATCCTGTTGCTGTTAATGCAGAGGTCAACGCTCTCATCGTTGAAAATTCAGACGAAGCAGATGCAATAATCTATACAGACGGATCCGTTATACGCCAAAGAAGAAGCGCATGGGCATTTACAGCACGCTCAGCGGGCAGAACAGTCAAAGAAGCCAACGGCGCCTTCTCCATGACAACCAGCAGCATGACGATGGAGGTGATGGCAGTGACACAAGCGCTTGCCTGGCTTGAAACACAAAAATACACCCGCGTGTGTATACTCAGTGATTCAATGAGTATGATCCGGAGGGTTCAGGCAGGTTCAGTGCGAAGACAATGGCTTGAATCATTACAGAAGTCCACTGTCCGTGGAGTCACCTTTATTTTTGTTCCGGGATACGCAGGCGTCGATGGAAATGAAAGAGCTGACAGGTTGGCTGGATCCGCTATCACTACCGACGGTCAGCCTATGGATCATGCTGATATTATCAATGCCCTCAGAGAAATGGGAAGGATAGACGACTTTGGTGGCAGTGAATCCACATCACTCGCCAGAATGGCAGACTTGGGAATTAAGATCGCCACAGCAAAAAACGAGACGCACACCAGCTACGCCAGAAGACTTGTTAATCAACATAGAACTGGTACTATTAGCCATCGGACGTTGGGGTTCATACTGAGGGGAGGATCTGAGCACCTATGGACATGTCCGGAGTGCTATGAGGATAACCCAACTAACTAACTAACTAATTATCGTTCAGTATGCGGTCCTAGTGAGTGCGGTCCTAGTGAGTGCGGTCCTAGTGAGTGCGGTCCTAGTGAGTGCGGTCCTAGTGAGATTCAATTTCGCTCACTTCTGCCGGTTTGAATTTCACAGCTAATCTCAAGGAAATACCTTTTAAATATATATGGATAAACGTCTCTCTAGCTCAGTTGGTTAAACCTGACTGCGCGGCGGCTCGGTGACGAACTCCTTGTGGTCCGGATTCACGCCCTGGGGTAGGCAGAAAAGCCACATTTCTCCCACATTTACGGTATATATCATGGAATCAACGAATGGTTGCGATATCCATAATACCGAGCCAAAGGGTTTATGACTCATGGTTTCTGGATATAGATAGATAGATAGATAGATAGATAGATAGATAGATAGATAGATAGATAGATAGATAGATAGATAGATAGATAGATAGATAGATAGATAGATAGATAGATAGATAGATAGATAGATAGATAGATAGATAGATAGATAGATAGATAGATAGATAGATAGATAGATAGATAGATAGATAGATAGATAGATAGATAGATAGATAGATAGATAGATAGATAGATAGATAGATAGATAGATAGATAGATAGATAGATAGATAGATAGATATAGATAGAAACATACAGGCGTTTAATTTTTTATTAAAAGAAATAAGAACTTGTTTGAAATACCACAAAAATAGGTTTTATTAACTCCTTTAAGTTACAACTTAAAACTTCCTGTGTAGGTTCCGGGGCCCTATTTAAGGTGGGGGGGGGGGGGGGGGAATAGACCCACTGCACACCCACTAAGCATGTCGTAAGAGTCGACTAATTAGGAGCTTCCTTCGAAGTCAGTGTGCATCTGCCTGAGAGGCAAGGAACCAGGAGTCTGCAAACAAATGAGTCAGATCTGTAGAACGGATGCAGACGCAACACTCAGGTTCTGGAACAGGA